TTTCGATTAGCTATTTTGAATACAAGAATCACTAATAGTTCGCAAGACTGATTCATATTTCAATTATAGTATATCCGGTTATCAGCTAAGGGATTCTTGCAGTATTGTGCAGAAGTTCGCAATCAATATTGGAACTAACAACCATCCCAATGCAAAATGATGTACTGTTATTGGGCTATCTTAACCTTGCTACTTAGTTAACACTGCATATTGATTGCATATTCAGGAAGACAAACATACGGTAGCTGTCCTCGTCCTTCTTGTCGTATCCTTTGTACATAGTGGCAGTCGAGACGCACCAAAGCTACTAGGTCTCCAATTTATGTTCTATATGAGTTGAATTTGTGTATAGTTTCGCTTCACACTATAATCGTGATGAGAAGCCGATACACATGTATGTACTTGCACACAAGCGTATATCCTTTATTCACAGCTGTGGTGCATATATAAACAAATGCACGTTGTAAATATATCTTTCCACTTGTCCCTGGTTACCTCTTTGCTTTCCATCTACTCACGACAATTTTTTGTTTTCTTTTTTCTTTTGTGGACAGAATTCAGACGTCTAGCGGTCCATTTTGTTTATAAATAGGTGACCTCCTTGCCAAACTACAGACTACTGTTATCAGTATAAGAAATCAAACTCGCGCCAAAGCCATATTGGGGCCGGGATGTCACCTCATTGCATTTTTTTTTGGACTGTGATTAGTTTGTAACGATAGTAAAATGTCGTATGTGCACCTAATATTTCACAATAGTCTTTTTATATGTGAATATATTGTCCTAATTTCTTGCCATTTTACTTATTTTGCCATATATGATAAAATAGTTTTTCACCTTTTTTTTTTTTGCACCAAAGCACACACACGGTAAATAAAGCCCATTTGTTTAGCACTCATGCAGCAAACGTGGCATACCGTAAACGGAACAAATGATAGCGTAAAAAAGATAAACTTCTCCCTCGCCGTGATCTCGATAGTACTATTATAGCATATAACGTTATCATAAACGCAAACCCGATCATAGTCAACTGATAAAACTTGAGAAATGCACTGAGATATTTATCCCAGAACCCAGGGGCCAGGGCCCCAGTAACTCCAACTCGAATCACGTTTGTGCTTCATTTCCACAAAATTAGAGATGACGTATCAGAATTTACAGAACAAAATACCCAAAGCTAAGTATTCCCTGTGTGATTATCACAATTCTTGGATTGCGATTGCGCGAGAAGGCCCAACTATCGACTATCCGCACACCCCACCAGCAGAAATAAAATATAAAGTCTCGAACCCAATCGTAATATAAATCCGAATACTTCAGGAACGATACGGATGTCGAATGGGTCTGTGATCTTTGAAGTGTGAACTGGATAGCGAAGGCGATTCTAAAATTAAAAAAATACCACACCTCTCCAACATATATACTCAGGTGTACCTATTTATTATCATATACTACGATATACCTATTCTTTAGAGGAAGCTTCATTATAATATACCATTTCAATGCAAACCGTTATTGCTGTAAATATCCCGCACAGATACATAACTAAATACCCACACCTACACATTTGTTTGAACTTTGAGCCAATTGAGAAACCGAAGAATCAGCCACCATGTTTAGTTGGGTACAGAATATAGTTGACTACTTCATGTCATTATTTTGGAAAGAAGAGATGGAGCTCACGCTCGTCGGCCTACAGAATTCCGGAAAGACCACCTTTGTAAACGTAATTGCGGTACGTGGTCAGAGATATATCGATACTAGTTCTATGAGTTTAATTAGTTTGTGTATGTTAACGTATATCTGTTTATTCAGTTGATTCGGTAAAATACACGAATGCATCTGGATATATCGACACTGGTTGAACATTTAATACCTGGTTCCGATATATCACTCTGTTTCTCGTTCCTTACGTACGATTGAATTAGGTACAATGTGATATGTCTTTCATTTATTAGTAGATGGTTCCCTATATAAATATATGCGTTTTTAAATGTCCATACATAATGATATATATATATATATTTATATATATATATATATATATATGTATATATATATATATATGTATATATATATATATATATATATATATATATGTATATATATATCTGTGTGTGTGTAGTTACTACGTATCTTTGCGCGGGCGTGTGTGTGTGTTTGCGGG